AGACTATCAAAACTCGTAAAAATATAGAAGCATGATGCATACTGTAAATAAATATATTTCTCTAGGGAATATTCCTCATCACCTGCCAGCTAAATCCTTCTTGAGCTTAAGCCCAAGGTCCTGATTACTGGCCCCAGCATATTTCACCAGAATATTATAAATATCCGAGGCATTGGAACCTTGAGAGAGAGGTTTCAATAAAGTCATACAATGATGCCATAATGAAGGCCTCCGCTCGTTCACAGGCAGCCTGACCACAAGGTGCAGGCCCCATAATGCCCTACCAATGACCTCCATGCTGACCTACAGAGACCACTGTCTCAAGGGGTGACAATTTAATCCTTTATCCTTTTGTCATTGAAAACGACTCCACCGCCATAAATTCTCATCAAGTCAAACTGGATGGCGATTTAAAAAAAAAAAAAAAAATCTTAGAATGCATGTTTCTGTGAGAAAGATAACAGGAAGGGAAGGAAAAAGAAAACACCCTACAGATGGTACATTTTCCAGCAAGGAAGAATCACTGACCCAACTTTCAACCCTTTTCTGAAAGTTCACAGATAAATGATATTGAAAACACCCACGCTTACAAGTATCATGATACGCAATTTCTTTTAACCCAGAAAAACACAGTAGCATGACAGAAAACCAGCCAGCACTCTTTACGTCGGGTCCCATGTGTATAAATGGTTTTTTGTTTACATCCCAGCTCAGGGCTCTGGAGCTGTGTGCCCAACTCACATACAGTGGGGTACAATTGAGCAGCTGAGCCACAGAGGAGCCCAGCCACCCGAGGTCGTTGGGACTTTAAGAAAAGCAATCATGAGGTTTATCTTGAAACAATAAAAATACTCCCAGGAGGAACACAGTTAATAAATCATCTTTCAAATTTCAGATATATCTGGGAGAAAATATTTAGGGCCCGTTTTATGCGCTCTCACTTCTTCAGCCGAGACTGCATGGGAAAACTTTAGTACAGATATTTTTCTGGGGATATATATTACTTTTATCCTTCCTGTGGCCATCTTCCCAACCAAGTTGTTGATGCTCTACCATTTGAATTTTAGCATCCAACTTGACGGAATGGGGACCACTGAATTCTTGACGAGCATAACTAAAAATGAAGCACCACATTGACATGGGTGTAATAAATGTCACCCGAGAAACACAGCAACCTCTTCCTTTTGAGATTGTTTGCCAAAGGCCAGTTTTGAGAATGGTTTCGGATATGTACATCACTAGTCACATATTAAATGGCTGGCCCCGCGTGGCATCGCTCATTTAATCCTGCAGCCAAAACCCAGGGAGACGCAGAGCCAAATTCTCTGATAATACCCCCCGACACGCAAGTCTGTTCTCCTCCATACTGTTTCCCACAGCTCAGAGCTTAGCAAAATACAGTCACAGACCGAAAAGAGACAGTCATTCTACAAGCTTTCCAAGAATAAATAATGCACCACTTAATGATATCACAGAGAACTACCTCACCACACGTTTCTCAATGAAATGTGGATTCATCTTTCCTGAGTGTACTTGAGTTTCCCTAGCTGTTCAAGTTAAGCAAAATGTTACCTCAGATGTAATTACTTTATAAAACACAAGGGCCCTTTCCTGAACTTTCTACAGAGGCTGGTATATGGCTCCTGGTTTGCTCCTTCTGATACTCTGAGCTGCACGGAGCACTGAAACATTCTGGACAGTATGTTTCCCTTTGGATGCTGTTAAGAGCAGAGGCGCCTGGGTGGCTCAGTTGTTAAGCGTCTGCCTTCGGCTCAGGTCATGATCCCAGCGTCCTGGGATTGAGCCCCACGTCGGGCTCCCTGCTTGGCAGGGAGCCTGCTTCTCCCTCTGCCACTCCCCCTGCTTGTGTTCCCTCTCTTGCTGTGTCTCTCTCTTCAAATAAATAAAATCTTTAAAAAAAACAAAAAAAAGAGCAGAGGTGTAATTTCAGGAGAGGCATAAAAGACCCAACGGTTCCTGGAATTTCCTTTGTTTATCCATAGAGGGCATCAGTATTAGCCTTTCTCCTGCAGTTTTGGGCTGAAGGTGCCCACACTGTGACAGAAACAGACCTGTGCTCTGGACTGCTAATTTCAACAAGATACAGAAGGGGGAATAATCTCCAAAGAAATCCATCAGTACTGAAATCTCAGGTGCAGCAAAAAAATAAAAACAAAAACAAACTGAGCTCTTCTTGCCTCCTGTTGTTGCTAAATGTCTCTCCACAAAAGTAAACACATCAAGATGTACACAATTGTCTTAATCTGCTCCTTTCATTAGGGAAGCACAGTTTTCAAGAATGCAATGCGCATGTCATGAGGATGATGGTCGGAGAGAGTGTGTTAGGAAATCATGGTTGACAGATAAACCTGGATGCTCTCAGTTATTCTGGAAAAAGGTAATTCTTCATTGTCAGGCAAAGAGTGTAATGAAAACCACGTATAAGAACAAAAACACTTGAGCGTATTCATGTCAAATAAAATGATGGTCCATTAAACTGTCACCCATTAGGTGTGGCCAAAGTTGCTAAAAATCCCGGGAGGGAATTATTCTAAAAAGTTTTAGTCAGTTATGCAAACTGGGATTTCTAAGGCTAAGTCCCGGTGATATTAACAGGATAGAGCACAATAGACCCAATAGCTAAAGAAGCCTCAAAGAACATTGGGTGCTTCTTTCGATGGACATTCTAGTCCCTCTGCCTCCTATTGTCTCCCCTTTTTGCCTCAAGTTTTCGAAACTGCTCATCTCCTGGTTGCTTCTTCACCTAATCAGAAACTGGAAAATATTCACACTGTGTTCAAAAAGCACTCTATAGAGGCCAAATAAAATTAAGCAAATACATAAGGAATATCAGATGTAAGATGGAGATTTTGCCCAGTGTCCTCTCACAAATTCAGAAGTTGAGAATTTTCAAGTGAAGATGAGCACCTTCTAACACCCACTGCGATTTCTACACTAAACTCTGATTCCTTAGTTTACCCCGTAAATATTCCACTTCAGATATATTTTCAATGAACTTGTAATTCAAACCTCTCTGACCCTCTTGGGTTTTGTTTTTTTAAAGCTTATGTCTCTGCACATGCAAATCAGTAAGAGTGACATAATAGATTCTATAACAATTTTCAACAGTGGGAAATCTAAACAAATGTTGAGAAGCCAAATTAATCACCCCTCTATTGGTTTACTTGAAGAAAGGAAAAAAAAACCAAGTTGGGGTTATAAGTGAAAGTCTACAAAATGCATTTACTTTTTTAAATTGCATGCAAAGTTTAGGAGCAAGTAATCCATTATCCGCGATTCTGTTGAATTCACAGTTGATTACTTTTTAAAAGTCAAAATGCTTTGTATTAATGCATCCCCAACATCAGAGAGACTGGAGCATGGTTTTGCCTTTCTGTAATTTATAATTTTATCTGACTTCTCTCACTAACCCCCTGAAAGGAAATGAGTGTTCTAGGACATGACTCTCCCTACACACATAAAAACTGAAACTACAACAAAATATTCCTTTAGAGTGCAAATGCTAAAACCTTAATGCCTAGGTATAAAAAAAGAAAAGAAAAGAAAAATCTATGTGCCAGGTAGAATTGCTGCTTTTTGAAAAAAGCATAATATGACAGAATTTCTTGAAACTGGGATCTATTATACTCTTAACTGTAAAGCTGTATTTTACCAATAGAAGATCTGAAACAGAAAGTTTCTCAGCAACACCCCTCAGTGTTTGACTGAGTGAACATTTCAAATCAGAGGAAAGCTTCCTCTGTTGAAGCTGGCCTAGAGTTGCCAAACTATCGAAGCTGCTTTCTTCCTGGAGGCTAAAAAAAAAATTAAGCTTATTTTTTTTTTAGCTGAATTAATGACTTTCTTGACAAAGCAGTCTATGCGGTGGTGTGGTTTTTCTTTGACGTTCAGGCATACGGCTGTGTTTTTAACCTGCGACCCAGCAGTGTTCTGCCTGATATATGCATATAAAATCACGTGTATATATCAGGTTAGTATATATAGGTATAAACAGGTTAGTATGTACATACATATATTCAGTGTTATAAGTATATAAACACTGGAAAATAATTAAAAGCAAGTGTTTCGGGAGCAAGTGTTCTGAAAACCTAATGTCACTCTATCCCATAAAGTGCTTCTCCAGCACAGACATCTATCACCATCCATCAGTCAGTCACGCGCCTCAACAACCCGCTCCCCTTTCTGATTAGAGATCACAGTTGCTTGAGTTGGCTTACAGAGTGTCATCTGCTTGAATGACAGATGTCTCTGCTGGAGTGGCACTCTGCTCGCTCTTGTTTTGTTTATGGAACAAAGATTCCTGAAAGGTCCTGGGCTGCCTCCACATTTAGAAAGAGCCTATAAACATCTGGTCAAGGGAAGAGGGGTAGGGGAGGGACGCAAAGGACCTCTTTTCTTTCCTCGTCCCCCCGTTAGAAGGAGAGATGCCCACTCTAATTGTGATTACAAAAATGTTATTTCTCTGAGCAATCCCCGTAGCCACCTTTGTTTACCTGGCACAGAGAGACTCGTATTGATATTTCTCAGTTCCCTCTTCCGTCTTTTGACTACAGATAATAACTCTTTACTCTCCTTCCCCTTAACAAAAGGCTGCAAAGCAACCCGAAACCGAGTCGATATTTATTCAATAAATGTTAACCAATTCTCACAATGGAACTGATTTCCTGATTATTATTACCATCTTCTTCTTCTTTTTCTTCTTTTTTTTTTTTTTTTTAATAATTTCTAGCCCTGGGGACTCTGACAATATCAGACAAGCCCCAAGGAGCAGCGAGGAAGTTCCTTGCTGGGAAAAGTTTGGAGGACATCCTGCTAGCCAGCTGGAATGGGCTCCGGTGGGGCCCCTCCAAGATGCGAAGCTCCTCTTTAGGACTTACAAGAAAATTGAATGAACGACAGGGAAAGGGTGGCGGGGGGGTTGTGGATTGCTCTTCCGGACAACATGGTAGGGCTGAAATGAAATACCTAGACAGACTTACCGAAGAGCTTGCTGGGAGTGTCCTCGCTGTCATTTGATTCCACAGGCTCAAGCAGGGGCTCATTCAGCTCGCTGTCTGAAGTAGCAGCCTTGTTCTCACCTCTCAACTCCGCATTCATTTCACTCCGCGCTGACAGCAAGGGCTTACTGACTTGTCCAGCTATCATTGGATCCTGGGATGGGGGAAAAGAGTGAAGGGGAGGAAAAAAAAAGTGGCAGCTTTAGTGTGCGTGTCCTCTCTCCCTCTCTCCTCTCTCTCTCTTCCACACACACACTCTCCCTCTCTCCTCTCTCTCTTATCTGCTCCCGCTGTTATTGCTGGCTGCAGTCAAGTGAAGAGCTATTACAGATCCGAGGAGTTCTCCATTACTCCCCACCCTATTAAAGCTCAACTAGCATGTGAGAGATTCAGGAAGCTTCGGAGGGAAGAAGGGGGGGGGCGCGAAAAAACTTCTTTGAAAGCCACCTAACCAACACAGCTTTAATTGTGGGATGTGCTTTTTTGTGCGAATGTTTTTACACCTTGTTCGGTCTTTAATGCAGTAAGAAAAAAGAAAGTGCTGGGTTTGTACTTTGGCAACACACTAAAAAGGAAGGAGCACCCTATGGAGGAACCACGGGCTATTTTAAGAAGCACTCTCCCTGGGGGAGAAGCAATTAAACCCTATCCCCAGAGCAGAGAAAAGAGATAGGGAGAAAAGAGTCCTCGAAAGGCTTTCAATGGAATAAAAGAGATTTCTCATGTAAATTCCATCAGCACCCTTAGAAGTTGACTTCGGTGCTCTCAGATTTGGGACTGCGCCTGACCCCAAAGCCAATGAACATGTTAAAGCAAACAATACACAGCAAAATAGATGACAATTGGTTCAAAAAAAATTTTTTTAAGGAATTGGAAAAATACTTACAAACTGTGTTCAATAATTCCGATAACCAGAGCATCATACGCCCAGAGCATTAGAGAAAAAGAAAGCAAAAAATCACCTCCAAAAAGGGCAAATTTCCCCCCCTTCCCAATAATTTGAATCTGCTTTATCTTCAGCTCATTAGGAGGGCGTCTTAGGATCAGAAATATTTCCCAAGGAGAGCCTGCTATTCCATTTGCAAACTCAGATGCATGATATTGTTTTGGCACAAACACCGGCTGCAGAAGGAGAAGGAAAGCAAGAAGCGCCCCTTTTGCGTTATCTGGGAGCTATTTATTGCCAAGTTCATGCCTAAGTGGTTCCTGAGCAGGAAACAGGTGACCAGCACAAGAGCAGGTGGGGCGGCATGCTCTCTTGTCCCATCGTTACATCGGTCGCGGTATGCCTGTGGTTATTTTTTTTTTTTAATGTATTCATGCCTGAAAAGTGAATTTGATATGACACATGATAATCTATGAAAATGTTAATCAATACAAATAGTTTAAGCTGTCATCAAATGCACTTCTTTAGTCAATACTCATACCACTGAAAACAATGTCACTGTCACCAGGGCTTAATGTGCACAGCACTTAAATATTGGACTCTGTGCATCAGTGCACTTCTTCTTCAAATACTGTAGGTAAACACATTTTCTCCCTATTTAAGGCTGAAGCACTCAGCACGCATTTAGCTGAGCCGAATCCTCCCTTTTGAATACCTTGATAGGTCCACTGGAGGGCAAAATTAATACTTAATTGAATCTCACAGTCATCAAAATAATCAATACTTTTTTATTATTTATTCTTTACAGTCTGTTGACTGTTTCAAACCTCTGAGGGAATGGTGGAAAGGATTCATGGCTTCGAAACACTGTCATTTAACAAGGTAATTTTCAGTGGGGCATTAGAGGTTGTGAAACATATAATAAAACAAAAATGGTGGCTTATAATAGGAAGAAAGAAAAGAATTATATTTCTGCCATCTAACAAAACAGGATAAATAAAAAAGCAAGTGCAGAGAGAGAGAGAGAGAGAGAGAGGGAAAGGAGGGGGATGAGGGAGAGAAAGACTGGCTTTTGAAGGGTTTTATCATATCAAGAGCAGAGCCGGGCTTTCATAATGCTGACATTTCTCATCCTGACAATCCTAAACAAGTGGAAAGGATGAGATCGTAGATATCATCTTTCATCACATTCCCCAGCTTAAGAACCAACATGACAGCTCCTTTCCCCTTCACACTGTTAATTACTAAATAAAATACTACTCTCTGTCAGCATCAGATTATCGCAGATAGCAACTACAAACATTTCTCCATTGTTTCCCCCCTCTGGATCCATGATACCTACCTTGAACTCTTTAGAAAATAAATTAGGCTTGTCTCACCATATTGTAAATATTTGAAATATAATCAATGTCATCAATGTGGTCGATTCATGGTATTGTCAGCCTAAATTTGCTGGTGATAGATTAGCATTTCATTGACTGTGTTTGGTCACTGAGGTTGGGAGCGCTTGACTTTCGGGGGTGGGGGAAGCAGGCCCAGGGGAAAGGAGACATGAAATTCTCAGATTTTCCCCCAATTTCTTTCCTAGGCATCTAAGAAAATGCGCGTTTGGATTCTTCTGAGTCAGTTAGTGGAGCGGGGTGGGGAGGGAAGGGAACCCTGCTTTGCCTCACGCTTTTGGTAAGTGTACTCCTCACGTGAAGTAAAGAGCCCAGGTTTAAATTCTAGTACATTTTTACCTTACCAAAGGTTGACTACTCAGTCTCCCCAATCTAGAGGAAGGGTTGTGGCCCATGCCTTTGAGACACCCTATCTCTGAGGCTGCACGGCTCATTTGAGCATTTTTTTAAGACAGCGTTCATGGCAAACTCATGTTTAGAATGGCATTCAAAACCCAGGATACACCAAACATGGTATCGGGGAATATCTGGGTAGTCTTCCCCAAAACAAAGACTATTTTCTTCTTGTTTTATCTGTGAATGGTCGAACTGAATCCTGAAGCACGCAGAGGGGCCGAAATGTAGCTGCTAAGTTCAAGTGCACTTAAATCTTCAAGATGCTCAGTCTGGCTGATGTGTGCAAAGCATGTATGGGCAGATGGTATATATTCACTGATCATTAGCTCTTCTTCCTTCAATTACTTTTATGTACCTCATACATGGCTAGGTTCCCAAGTAGTGCCTCCCAGTGACTCGAGCTTAGGAAATTCAGGAGTTTGTCATCCAGGTACTCATTTGATTTTTCATCTTACAAAACACTTTACGTTTTCCATGATGCAGCTGTAGCCCACATCTATATGTGCATGACATGGTTAAACAGCAAACCCCCAGTGAGGCAGAGAGCAGACAGCTTTTAATCACAGCTGCAACCACTGGGGGGTCCATTTGAAAATGTGTCACAAGCTGTAACCACTGAGTACAGTCATAAGTGATGAGGGAGTGCCCCTTTCAAGCAGCACTCGGTTCAGAAGTCATTCTCCCCCTGCCAAAAGGGATGGCAGTCTGTAAAAATCCTTTCTGCCAGAGCGAAGAAAGGATTTTCCGACAGGCACCAACCTAGGCGCTTGCGGGAATGCAAGAAAGTGGCAATTGCACCATGCACAAGGATCTCTGCAGCAGCACACGGGAACAGAAATAGCTAGGAGAGGCAAAACATAGAAGCAGCAAAGACTTCTTACTTAAAAATTGGAAACTGTCACAACTGCAGGCAAAGAAGCTGGGATCTCTCTGCAATTCTTGTATCAGCCCTGATAGAGGAAAAATGACTGATTCAATACGGAGGAGTGGCGAGCAGGTGCAGGAATAGGACATGGCGGGTGCCAGCAGAGGTCAGTCCATGACGACTCACATGGCTCATCAGAGACCCAAGAGCCAGACGCCAAGAAAAGAAGAAGCAGGAGAGGTGGTTTCCATGAGCAAAATCTGAACAAGGAATTTTGCCATGTCCTCCAATGAAAGGACTATGATCAATGGCGACAGAACTACCCAACGATGACTGAAATCTCATTCGAGCATTGTCAAGGAACAGAAATCAGGCCCATCTAGGGAGTGAAGAGAGGCGCTTCAGATATATGTAACGTCACCCAAACTATGCAAGACATTAATCCCTCTTGGAGGGACACAAGTCTGAGACTCAGAGAAGCCAAGTGACTCATCCCAGAGCCACACAGCTCGTGTGTGGTGATGCTGTATTTTGAGCTTCAGTAGATTCATCCTTTTATACCGCCCAGTAGGCACTGGATAAAAAACCAAGTCTCATAAATTTAGTAACTCATGGGGTGTCCCAGAACTTGAATTACAGGCCCTGAAGGGTGTTAAACTCTGGATAACTGATTCCCAAAGCATGTGTGTAGTATCTTCCTCCTTGCAGACTCTAGGAACAAAAACCTTGTCTGTCCAACACTGCTCGTGTGAAATCTATGGGACAATACAGTGTAAGAGACAAGACATCAGACAGTGTCAAACATCCAGGCTTGCATTCAGGTTCATGGTCTACAGAAACTTAGCAAATCATTTGACCACCGATACCCTCAATTCTCTCATCTAGAAAATGAAAAGGTTGGAATAAAACAGCATTCCCAGGGCGCCTGGGTGGCTCAGTCGTGAAGTGTCTGCCTTCGGCTCAGGTCATGATTCCAGGGTCCTGGGATCGAGTCCCACATTGGGCTCCCTGCTCCTTGGGAGCCTGCTTCTCCCTCTCCCACTCCCCCTGCTTGTGTTCCCCTCTCTCGCTGTGTCTTTCTCTGTCAAATAAATAAAATCTTTAAAAAAAAAAAACAGCATTCCCAAGGTGCATTCCACAGAACACTTGTCCCCAAAGATACTCTACTTAAAAGAGTTTTGCAATCATACCCACATGGAAAATGCAACAGAAGAGTCTACCAGGAAAGAAACCGAGTCAGCTCTGCTCAACCCCGCATTTCCCCAAATCATCTGACCGCGGAAGGACTTCTCCTTGTAATCTCTGTTGCATTATCCAATGGATCTGGTGCCTCTTGAAACTCACTTTACAATTTATTCTAAATTTACATTTATGTTACTGCTAATGTAAATTACAGCTCTAACTATCAATGATGCTGCAAAAATTACCCGGAAGCTTCAGCAAGTACACATCTGCCCAGTGCTTCCCACACTTCAGTAACTTTTTCCTAACTAATATTCCTTACAGTTTATTTCTATATGGTTACATACAACTTAGCATATACTAACTGTGTATATTCTCACTGTATACTAGTTCCTGATGTCTTTTAATATAATTTTTAAATACAG